TTCTTTAATCAATAACCAGATATTTTTGGATTTATACTCTCCTTTTATCTTTTCTTTTGTCAATAGACTCTCTCATTGTTTCTTATTACTGGATGAGCTTAGATAATTTATTATCAACGCATCACTGATGTTGCATCGAACCTGGAAAAAAGACGTGAATTGAAACAAAAGTGTCTGATGAATTTTTTTATTTTTTTTTTCCTATCGAATGAAATGAGTGATTATTGAAAAGTTGTGGTATTCCTCACCACAGGCCGTGTTAGAAATTCATTTGACTTTTATCTTGTCTTGTGTGCAGTCAACAGAGAGTTTTTGCAGTTCAAGTATTCGAGCTGCATCGACTTATAAAGGTGAGGGCACTCGTGCAGTTTAGCTAGCTTTATTGATCAACTGCAGGGGAAGTGTCAAATAATACACCTAAATTTTGCCTAATTACAAGACTGGCGGTTATTTTTTTCAAAATTAGGAACTCCCCCTAAAAGTGTTAGTCCAGACACCATTGATGTTTATAATTTACCCAACACACACACCCATCTTGAATGGGTGACTAATGGTATAGAAATGCATATGTGGGGGAATCATTTTGATCTTGAAACTTTTTTTTTCCTCTTTGTAATTAAACTAGATCTTAGTGGTGTTTTCCAAATTATTTCATTTTTCCGGTTTTGATGCCATTCTCATTTCTATTAATCAAGTGATATTTTATGCATGTGCACATCATTCCTATTTCAGGTCCAAAGATCAATCGCTGCGGCCCCACAACTCTTGATCGAGGACTCTGCTTATGTTATCAAGCCCGCGAAGCCTTTGCCTACGAAAAAACGCTCATTAGATAACACTCTCAAATCAAATCAAAATGAGCCCATACAGAAAACCGAGCATGAAAAGGCGGCCCATAAAAATGAATGCTCCGCCGAAAATATCCTTGAGAAAAAATCATCCTCTCAAAATAGGCCTCTGACTAACAGTAGCCACAGCATTACCAAGCCATGCTTGAATCAGGCGCAAGGTCACCATTGGCTTATCCCAGTTATGTCTCCATCTGAGGGATTGGTATACAAACCGTACCCCGGGCCTGGGTTTGCGGGCCAACCTTGCAACCTGCCGGGTGCGAGTGCAATGGTGTCTAACTTTTTGGGCCCACCCTATGGTGTACCTCCGCTACCACAGTATCACTTTTCCCCTTTCCCTCATTTTGGCTATTACGGCATGCCTGTTATGAATGCAGGCACAGGCCCGCATGTGCCAGCTTATGATCCGGGTGTCCAGCCTGGCGCAGGCCAAAGCAATGGGCCTGTGTCCGAGGGTATTGGAGTGCAGGCTAGTACGGGTAGCAGTCCGAGTGAGAAACAGGCTGGTGAAGGGCAAAATGTGCTCTCGCTTTTCCCGGTGGGCCCGAGTATTGGTGCTGGTGCACCCAACTCAGCTTCTCAGGATTCGGGCCCGAGTAGGGTGATCAAGGTTGTGCCACGAAATGGAGTGTCTGCATCTCAGCATGCTGCAAGAATATTTATGTTGATACAACAAGAAAGGGGACAGTTCGATTCAGTGTGACAAATATGTGATGGAGTAGGTAGAAAGCTACCTGTTCCTGTTACATCATAAATTTTGTGTTTTGGAATGAACTCGACTTTTTTTTTCCCTTTTTTATTTTAATATTTTTTTGTTGTGATTTTGTTTCCAGCCATTTTGTGCATGTAAAATGTTGTAACTGTAATACATAGGGAGTGTAGTTGCAGGTTCGATTGATACTTGACATTTGACTCGTTAGTTCTCCCGCCCGTCCGCCATCCCCTTTCCCAAATGATTATGTGATTTTATAATTTGAAGTAATTTATGTAAGCATATTTCAAACTCTCGATAAATGCGAAGTGTAAGTTAATTGCATGAGTGGTGAGCCTTGTAATGAATCATTATGTTATTCCGCAACGATGATGATACGTGACATCTATCTTTTTTGTAAAGCTAATGTAACTCTTGCCCAAGCTATTCTGAAAATTCTGAAAAACTATGAATCTGCTTCTGGACAAGTTGTAAACCTTGATAAATCTTTTGTGTTTTTCTCAACGAACACTCCTGAGAGAGTTGCGAATATGGTGAGGCAGACTTTGAATGGGATTGATTGGGCCTCATCTTTTAAATATTAGGGCTTCTTCTAGGATTTGGAAAATCAAAAATAGATACTTTCAAATTCCTGAGTGAGTGAGACTGTTGAAAAAGAGTGACAAATTAGAAAAACACTTTTTTGAGTGAGGCAGTGAAGGAGATTCTTATTAAAAATTTGATTAGTGTTATTCCAACCTATGTGATGTCTTACTTTCAAGCTTCATGAGTTCCTGTTTGTATTTGTGATGAAATTTGTAGTGAAACTACTAAGTTTCGGTGGAGAAAATTGACAAGGGGGAGTAATAAGATTCATTGGGCTACTTCAGAGAAATTTGCTAGGACTAAGAGTGAGGGCGGATTAGGGTTTAAGGATCTCAAAGCCTTCAATAAAGCTTTACTCATGAAGCAGTTATAGAGTGTTCTTACCTAACCCAATCTGCTAATAAGTGGAGTAATCAATGGGAGATACTCCAGTAAGGAGAGGCTCAGTGAGGTGAGGGCTAGGAGTGAAGACTGTTGATGTGGAGCTGGTTAGGGGTGAGAGACAGCCTAGCTTTAGGGGTGATTACCAGATGGGTAAATAAGGAATAGCTAGCTTGGGGCATACAAGTGAGTGATTTTGTATTGCGTTCATCTTGTAAATAAATGTTTCATCCTTTTATTATGCCAACTTCATATTTGTTTCATCTTTCCAGAAAATCTGATTGATGATAAGAATGACGCAGAGGAAGAAACCCTGTATATTCAACAACAACAACAACAACAAAGCCTTTTAGTCCCAAACAAGTTGGGGTAGGCTAGAGATGAAACCCAATAGAAACAGTAGTATAAAAAAAAAAGATTGGAGCAAAAGAGAAAGGAGCAAAAGTCACGGTTCCGGCACGTTGATCGCTAGTCTCTAAGCGCTCCTATCCACCGCTAAATCTCTGGAGATATTCCAATCTTTAAGGTCTCTCTGAACCGACTCTTCCCAAGTGAGTTTAGGCCGACCTCTACCTCTCTTAACAACATCGACCCGCTGTAGAACTCCCCTGCGCACCGGTGCATCAGGAGGCCTCCGTTGGACATGTCCGAACCACCTCAGCCGATGTTGAACCAATTTCTCCTCAATTGGGGCCACCCCGACCCTATCACGAATAACCTCATTTCAGATTCTATCTCTTCTTGTGTGCCGGCAAAACCAACGCAACATCCGCATCTCTGCTACACTTAGTTGTTGGACATGTTGCCTTTTTATAGGCCAACATTCAACACTGTATAGCACCGCCGGGCGAATCGCCGTCCTATAAAACTTACCTTTTAGCTTTTGTGGCACCCTCTTATCACAGAGAACGCCCGAAGCTTGACGCCATTTCAACCAACCAGCTGCAATTCTATGCCTAACATCTTCATCAATGCCGCCATCCTTTTGTAGCATCGATCCTAAATACCAGAAAGTCTCCTTCTTGGCCACCACTTGCCCGTCAAGGCTAACATCACCATCATCGTGAGTAGCCATGCTGAAAGCGCACGTCATGTACTCAGTCTTCGTCCTTGAAGCCTTTCGACTCTAATGTGTCCTTCCACAGCTCTAACTTCCTATTTACCCCGGCCCTACTCTCGTCAACTAGCACCACATCATCAGCAAAGAGCATACACCAAGGGAGATCACCTTGTATGTCCCTTGTGACCTCATCCATCACCAAGGCAAATAAATAAGGGCTCAATGCTGACCCCTGGTGTAGTCCTATTTTAATTGGGAAGTCGCTGGTATCTCCCCCACATGTTCGAACACACGTCATCGCAACCTTGTACATATCCTTGATGAGGGTAATGTACTTAGATGGGACTTTGTGCTTTTCTAAGGCCCACCACATGACATTTCTCGGTACTCTGTCATAAGCCTTCTCAAGGTCGATAAAGACCATGTGCAAGTCCTTCTTTTGGTCCCTATATCTCTCCATCAACTGTCGTATTAGGAAAATCGCCTCCATGGTCGACCTTCCAGGCATAAACCCAAATTGGTTTTGGGTCACACTCGTCACTCGTCGTAGGCGATGCTCGATAACCCTCTCCCAGAGCTTCATCGAATGGCTCATCAACTTAATCCCACGGTAGTTACCACAACTTTGAACATCACCCTTGTTCTTGAAGATCAGTACTAAAGTACTTCTCCTCTATTCATCAGGCATCTTGTTTGACCGAAAGATGAGGTTAAAAAGCTTAGTTAACCATACTAACGCTCTGGCGCCCAAACATCGCCACACCTCAATGGGAATACCATCAGGGCCCATTTCTTTACCTCCCTTCATCCTCTTCATAGCCTCTCCGATCTCTGCCTCTCGGATTCTCCTCACCAAGCATCTATTGGTATCCTCAAATGAGTCAACCAACTCCAGGGTAGGACCCTCACTCTCCCCATTAAACAATTTGTCGAAGTACTCTCGCCATCTGTCCTTGATCTTCCCATCCTTCACCAGTGGCCGATCCGACTCATCCTTGATGCATTTGATTTGGTTGATGTCCCTTGTCTTCCTCTCCCGAATCCTAGCTATCTTATAAATGTCCTTCTCCCCCTCCTTCGTGCCTAGGCTCTTATAGAGGTCATCATAGGCCTGACCCTTCGCTACACTCACGACACGCTTTGTTACCCTTCTCGCTATTTTATAGCTCTCAATGTTGGCTGCACTCTTGTCGAGGTGGGGACGCTTGAAACACTCTTTCTTCTCTTGAATAGCCCTTTGCACCTCGTCCTTCCACCACCAAGTGTCTTTCGCATCCTGCTTGCCTCCCCTACTCACACCAAGTACTTCTGCAGCCACCTTTCGTACACATGTTGCCATCTTTAGCCCCATGTCATTTGCATCTTCTCCTTCTTCCCAAGGCCCCTCGCCTAGCATCCTATCCCTAAACGTCTGCGCCACTTCCCCTTTAAGCTTCCACCACTTCGTCTCACGGTCTTGGCACATTTGTCCCGGTGGACACGTACTCGGAATCGAAAGTCCGCCACCACCAGCTTATGCTGGGGGACAACACACTCCCCAGGTATCACCTTGCAATCTACACAAGCGCGTCTATCCTTCCTCCTTGCAAGGATAAAGTCGATCTGACTTGAGTGACGTCCACTATGGAAGGTCACTAGGTGAGATTCCCTCTTCCTAAAGAGGGTGTTCGCTATCAGCAAGTCGTAGGCCAACGCAAAGTCCAACACACCCTCCCCCTCGTCATTCCTACTACCATACTCAAATCCTCCGTGCACTCTCTTGAAACCTATATTAGTCGCGCCCACATGTCCGTTGAGGTCTCCTCCTACGAAGAGCTTCTCGTTGGCAGGCACCGTACTGACCAAGGTGTCCAGATCTTCCCAGAATTGCCTCTTGGTGCTCTCACTAAGACCTACCTGGGGGGCATAGGCACTGATCACATTCATGGTCACATCCCTAACTACCAATCGGACTAGGATAATCCAGTCGCCTTGCCTCCTAACATCTACAACTCAATCCTTAAGGCTCCTATCGATCAGGATGCCTACACCATTCCTACTCGATGAATGGGAAACGTGGAGCTAATTGTTAGTTGTTTTGGAATTTCACATGATGAATTGAAGGAGTCTTCTCGGTCAAACCAAGAAGAAGGGAAAGCAGCACGTGAAGACAAAACTTACATGGCCATGCAAGTACATGTAGTCTCAAAAGCAACTCTTAGTTTAGAGCATTTGCAGCCATTGGATTAGACAAAAATTTGGGACACTTGTCTAGTTCATCCATCATCCATGGACAATATATAAGCTCCTTTACCAACTCAGGAAAACCTAAAAAGAATGTGTACGTGAACAGTGCCACTATTCTTGGATGCAGTGAGATCTGGTCTCCTGAGCATGAATTTTCTTTGCACTTTTTTCTTTTTCTATAATGGTATTAGAGCAGGTTAATCCTGCTTCTGATTACCTTTCTTTCTCTTGTTTTTTTCTTTTTGCATGACACAATCTACAGGCTCCACCAGCTCCATGGAGACAACAAATCCCATCACAACGGCATTAAGGTCTCCGATTCACCCCAATAGTTAGTCGATATCCTCAAAATTGGATTAAACAAACTTCCTGATATGGAAGCAGAATGTCATTACAGCCATACGAGGATATGAAGTTGAAGGTTACATCAATAGTAAGGCAAAGAAACCCGAGAAACTCACCACAGATCCGCAGACCAATGAGACCCAAATCAATTATGAGTATCTCATTTGGGTAAGACAAGATCAACTTTTAGCTTCCTGATTAATGTCTTCTCTGAGTTAAGGTATCTTGGTCATGATGGTTGGATTAAATATTGCACAAGAGATATACGAGGCTATTGAGAACAACTTTGCTAGCCAGTTCTGCAAGAATCATGCAGGACAAGTTAAAACTTCAAATAATGAAGAAATCAGGTCTATCTATGTGGGAATATTTGAACAAAATCAAGAATCATTGT